CTGCTTCTTGGGAGGAAAGCGATGACAAACCTTGACAGCATCTTAAAAAGCAGAGACATCACCTTGCCAACAAAAGTCCAAATAGTCAAAGCTATGGTTTTTTCTCACTTCTGTATGGAAGTGAGAGCTGGACCATAAAGAAAGCTGACTGCCGAAGAATTGATGATTTTGAATTGTGGTGCTGAAGGAGGCTCTTGAGAGTCCCCTGGACTGCAAGGAGAACAAACCTATCAATTCTAAAGGAAATCAACTCTGAGTGCTCACTGGAAGGACAGATCCTGAAGTTGAGGCTCTAGTACTTTGGCCATCTCATGAGAAGAGAAGATTCCTTGGAAAAAACCTTGATGTTGGGAAGGTGTGATGGCAAGAGGAGAAGGGGACGACCGAGGATGAGATGGCTGGACAGTGTCTGCAAAGCAACTAACATGAAATTGACAGACCTCCGGGAGGCAGTGGAAGATAGGAGGGCCTGGTGTGCTCTGGTCCATGGGGTCACGAAGAGTCGGACACGACTAAACGACTAAACAACTACTACTACTACTACTTGTTCTTGGGAGGAAAGCGATGACAAACCTAGACACCATCTTAAAAAGCAGAGACATCACTTTGCCGACAAAGGTCGGTATAGTCAAAGCTATGGTTTTTCCAGGAGCGATGTATGGAAGGGAGAGCTGGACCGTAAAGAAGGCTGACTGCCTAAGAATTGAACCTTTTGAATTGTCGTGCTGGAGGAGACTCTTGAGAGTCCCTTGGACTGCAAAGAGAACAAACCTATCCATTCTGAAGGAAATCAGTGCTCACTGGAAGGACAGATCCTGAAGCTGAGGCTCCCGTAGTTTGGCCATCTCATGAGAAGAGAAGACTCCCTGGAAAAGCCCCTGATGTTGGGAAAGTGTGAAGGCAAGAGGAGAAGGGACGAAAGAGGACGAAAGAGGACGAGATGGGTGGACTATCATTGAAGCTACCCACATGAATTTGACCCAACTCCGGGAGGCAGTGGAAAACAGGAGGGCTTGGCTTGCTCTGGTCTATGGGGTCATGAAGAGTTGAACATGACTTAATGACTAAACAACAACAGCAGCATATACCCTACAGACTGCTGTAAGCCTTAGTAGCTTTGTTCCCAATTGTAAGTTTAAAGAACAGATGAAAAATTCTTAACTTGCATGGGGATGTTGTACATAATAATATGGAAAAAAGATCCAAAAATATTTAGTATGAAACTGATATTTCATTGAACATTTCATTCTATTTCCACATGTCTGATGAAGTGGATCTGTCCATGAAAGCTCACATTAAAATATAATAGTGTTTAAGGTGCCACCTGTTCTTGTTGTTTTGTTTGGATTTTGCCTGATGTGCTTGCACAGACTAATGCAGCTACCTCTTTCAAAACAACATGCTAAAATAGTCTCTCTTTCTTTTGAGGAAGCTGTAGTCCTCCATAAGTTTGTGGACTTCAGCTCACATAATCCCTTATCATTGGGTGGATTAATGAAAGTTGTAAGCCAATCATTCTTAGTCTGGTAGGAATTTCCTTAGAGTTGGAAGGGTGAGACATGACAAGGTAAGAATAATTTTCAGCATAATGCTGAGTAGTATTAATAGTATTAGCCTAAGTAAAAGAAAAAATATAAATAGGTTTAATTGTGAGGTGTAGACTTTTTGATTGCTGAGGATCCAATTTGCCCCTGTGTCTGAAATCTTTTGATTATAGTGGAGGAGATTTAAATACATTCTTAACTTCCCAAATTAGTGGGAAGTGTTAAACTTGGATTGTAGTGTATATCAGAGAGAAAGAGAATTTTAAATGTAGTTCTATTTATGGATACCTTGAATTGTGTTTTAATTTGCTTAGGTAAATCAACAAGTTACAGTTAAACGAAAAAGAGGAAGACCTCGTAAATATCCTGTTGAAATAAAGGCATTACAGGGTAAGTATAGTGTGGCATCTTGAGAGACAATATACGTGGGTGATTCCTTGAACTGATAGTTGGTTTGTTTTTTCAGGTCAAGATTCTGAAGCTGACACAAGCACTGGAAATGTAAGCATTTGACTGATTTCTATTTGTTGGGTCATTTTTTGTTTCCTGTGCAACATTATTTATTTTTGGTTGTTGTGGGTTTTTTGGGCTTCTTGGCCGTGTTCTAAAAGTGGTTCTTCCTAACGTTTCGCCAGTCTCTGTGGCTGGCATCTTCAGAGGACAGCAAACTGTGCTCTGGGTAGGTTTGAGACTGGGTGGAGTATTTGTGGCTGTGAGAAGGCTAGTTTGTGAGGTAGGCTATTGTCCTAATCAGGAGATGGTTGATTAATGTGTTTTGAGCATCCACACCAGAATCAAAGAACATGAGAGACACTGCAGACTAAAACAACCAGAAAAATCTGCAGTAGCTGAACATGCCATAAAACAAACTGGACATGAAATTCTATTTCAAAATACTGAAATACTGGACAACACCAGTAATCATTACGTCAGACTGCACAGGGAAGCCATTGAAATCCACAAGCATCAACAAAACTTCAACCGGAAGGAGGAATGTCTGAAACTCAACAAAACCTGGCTCCCAGCTCTCAAAAACACAGAGTGCAAAAGGTCAACGAACTCTACCCAGCCACAAGGTCAGGGGATTACTGCACACAAAAGACCAGCTAATGACACCCATCAACCACAGGGACAGATAATCTCCCCTCCTTATCAAAACAATACATCCACAACAAAACACATTAATCAACCATCTCCTGATTAGGACAATAGCCTACCTCACAAACTAGCCTTCTCACAGCCACAAATACTCCACCCACTCTCAAGCCTACCCAGAGTACAGTTTGCTGTCCTCTGAAGATGCCAGCCACAGAGACTGGCGAAACGTTAGGAAGAACCACTTTCAGAACACGGCCTCTTCTTTATTATTAGCTTGGTGACTTCCAGTGTTGGATATAGGCTTCCTGTTTTGCTTTCATTAATTGCTACTTTGTATTATTTTCATCTATTTCAGTCCTACTGATCTTTTAAAATCATCCACCCATCTAGTTTGTTGTTTCCTGTACTACCTTTTCTGATACAAGGTTGCAATTTATTTATTTACTTCGTTGCTTGTCTACTTGTCTCATGTTGTGGCCTGCCCAGTTCCATTTTAACATTGCTATAATGTTTTGGCTATGTATCTGTTCTTCGGTTTGTTTGTTTGTTTGTTTGGCCAAATAATTTGATTTCTTAATTTATCTATTAGTCTGATATTTAACATCTGCATTTCCATGGTTTCTTGAGTTTTTGTGAGCTTTTCCATTATGCATTTCACTATAGTCCAGGTGTGGCAACTCACATTGATTCTAAACTAATCTTTTTAATTTAAAGGAAGTTTTTTTTTGTTTTTAAGGAGTTTCATTTGGTTACCAAAGTTGACAATGCAAGTTTTACTCATGTCTTCACTTATACTCTCTGATTAAATTTTCCACACTTTATTACTGCCTCAGATAAATACATTCTCAATATTTAAATTTTACAGGAGAATTCTAAAGGAGAAAAGTGTAGAATATGAAAATGAACTGAGAGGTAAAATTAAATTTTCTCAGCTCAAGAATACAGTAGAACCTCTACTTATGAACTTAATCCATATTGGAATGGTGTTCGTTAGTTGAAACATTCATAAGTAGAAGCAAAATTTCCCACAGGAATGCATTGAAAACCGATTAATCCATTCCAGCCGAAGAAAAAAAATACAAAAACATGGAAATGAAAATAAACAGAGCAAGTCCCACCCTGGGACTGCAAAAAACAAAAGAAAAAAAAAACAGAAACAAAAATAAACATTGGAGCAAGTCCCATGCTGGGACTGAAAAAACCCCCAACAAAACAACACAGAAACGTAACCCCCAGCCCAAACCTACCCTCCAAAACCCTCCCAGAACAACTTTTTTAAAAGGAAAAAGCAGCACCTTACCTCCACCACTGCTACCAGGCCAGGGCTCCAGCCACCTCTGCGGAGGTTTCCAGGGCTTCCAAAACACTGGCACCCGTAGGGCAGCCGTGGCGGCAGGGCCAGCCATAGTGGAGGGGCCCTTACTCATGAGTAGATCCGCACCAGGGATGGGCAAGGAGCACACCAGCTTGCCGCGCCAGGCAGTGATCCAGAGCTGACCCACCTCTCCTTTCTCCTCCTGCTTGGCAGAAGTAAAAAAGTTCCCTGACCCCCTGCTCTAACCATTGGGGCGAAAGAGCTACAACGTACAGTAGCAGCCTCTTTGCCACCAACGGTTTGAATTCCCCGCCTTTTTCCCATGCCTTTTTCCGTTCGTAAGTGGAAGCTCCATTCGCAAGTAGAAGCAAAATTTTGTGGACGGAGCTGTTGGTAAGTTGAAATGTTCGTAAATAGGGATGTTCATAAGTAGATGTTCCACTGTAGAAACATAGACCATATCAACAGTGCTTTAAATATGTTAAGAAGCAGGACAAAATGTAGTTAAAGCCCTCAGAGGACAGAAATAGAATTGAATGTGAAAGATTTGTTTGACAGAAGAAGACAACTACTGAGATAAGGGAAACAAAGTACTATAGAATACATAGAAGCCTACAAAATGGAGGGGGGGGAACAGTAAGAAGATAAAAGAAAACAATAAATGATTGAATGTGTCATTCATATGAAGAGCATAAGATCATTAGGAAAAACAAATACTAATGTTACAAAGATGGAAATGAGATCAGATATAGGGAAGGTATATTAAGAGTTACTGAAAAATTATGTTAAGAACAATATAAAAAAAGCTGGTGCCGTCTGAAGGTGTTGTAGAACCACTAAAATTAAAAATTATTACTGCAAACTCTGAAAATATACTGGAAATCAGTAAAAATGAAGATTTAGTAAACATGAAGAGTACACAAAAGCAACAAAGCTGCAGGACAAGCTGAATCCCTGTTCTTTGATCTACCTTAAGTTGTAACTCATCATCAGCACCTCTTTTTTGAATGGATTAAGCTTCCATTAGTCTCCCCTCCATCCAGTCCATTACTGACATCATACAGTGGTTTAGAAATGGATCAGGTTTCCTGGAATTGGATGAAAAAGAGAAATAGAATTGGGTGGCATCCACTTATTCATGACACCAAACTCTGAAATACTAGACAACCTCTTCCAGCAGTTTCATGTGTATGTTAAATAGGACAGAACTAAGCTCTGAGGGACCCCACAAAACACATGCTAGAGAAGAGGAGTCCCTCAACATGGCCTTATGAATTTGCCCCTCTGGGAAGGACTGGAGCCACAGTGCTTTCATGTCCCTCTCCAGAGAGATGATCCAGAAGGATCCATGGTTGATTGGTAATCAAAACCACCCAGAGCCTCAGGATAGCAACAAAGACACATACTCCCTGTCCATTTCCCTGTGTACGTCATCCACCCAGTGTTTCCGTTCGATAGCCAGGACTGAAGCCAAATTAGATGTAGATAATCTCATCCAGGAGCTCCTGGAACTGAGAAACCACAATATGCTGGGGTTACCACAGAAGCTGGATCCCCAATTGGATCATTTCCATGAACCTCTGGGATCCTCAAATAAAAAGCAATGAAACCAATTCATTGTTCCCCCAGAATCCACCTTCTTGTTTTCTCAAGAACTTGGCAAAATATATTCTGGATTTCTGCCCTTCCTCCTTAGAGAGTCATCAGTGAAATAGCTCCATTCCTGCCGCTGTTCTCTGGATGCGCTTTCTTGCCTTTAATCCTAAATATGCCGATTTCCCTGGCTGATGCCTCTGGGACTTCCTTTGTTGCACCATCTCCAGGCAATTCCTCCCACCTGACCAAGTGGGGAACACACTTTGACCATTCTCTGGAAAGCTGCCTTATTTTCCTTCCGCTCTTGGTTTTTTTTCTCTTCCCCTTTGGGACAAGCCCTCTTCATGTTTCCAAGCAGCCCACATCCAAAACATATGATGGGGTTTCTGGATCCAGAGCCGGAGTCCCGGAGGCAGTCTGTCACTGTAACAGGGCGACTGTCACACTCTGGCAACTCTAGAGCCGGAGTCCCGGAGGCAGTCTGTCACTGTAACAGGGCGACTGTCACACTCTGGCAACTCCTGCAATGTCACTGGAACCAGTTGTATTGGCTCTTGCCTTTCCATTGGACTACTTCAGTGACGTGGAGAGTGGGATTTTCTGCTTGGGTAACACACTGTCCTCCATATTATTTTATCCAGGCTTAGTCTGGAGAGGACACTTACCATAGTCTCTTGAGACTGAAGGATGCCTACACACCCCAGTCTTTGTCTTGACTTTGGCTTTCAGATTTTTCCTCTCCTTCAGTCCTTCCGCTTTCACTGCATGCCACCCATGTTTCTGCCTCCAGGAGTTTTTCTCTTCTCCTTCTCCCTGTTACATGTGAGGTCATCGGTGAAAAGGGCTGTCCACACCCTCCTGCTTTCTATTCAACACCAGTTGGTACCTTCTTTTTTATCAATGTTTTCAACTAGTCACAAACTTTAAAGCTTTTATCTGCACATTCCAGCTACTGATCTTAGACCTTAGTCTAGTTGCAACTGAATAGTAACTTTCCTGACTCATCTTTCTTATACTGCAAAACCATTCTTGACAGTTCTTGCACTGTGAGGGAGAACTGCTGTTTAACCAGTGCTTTAAATAAATCATAGTTCATACTGTCTTCCATATCCAATAGCAACTTCAACTACTGCCCCATCACTTGCATTTTTCTTTGAAATGGTCATTCTGAAACCATTTGTCTGTCTGAGATTGCCTGGCTAAACCAAATCCTTGATTCCAGAATTAACTCAAAGCTCAATATTTCGCCAAACTTAATTTTTTTTTTCAATAGTAAATATAGATTATACCATAAAAAGAACTCTTTACATATTTTATATGTATGCCTTAACTACTTTTAAATGTATTTCTAAAAATGTAACCTGTGACAAAATGTGTTGAAAATGTCTGTTACACAGATAGTCTTAGAGACCAGGATTGGCTGTCAAGTGTACATTTTATGACAAACCCATAAAATGCTCTGGAGTAGTGTGGAAAAGGCCTCTCAGATATAAAATGTACTGAATTAAGATTTTAGTTGTAGTTTGCACTACATGCCATCCTTTTATGATACTCTATGTTTGACACCAAAATGAAAATGTACACACCACTCTTACCACTTTTTGTGCATTGAAGGGGTAAACTTTGAAGCAGGGAATCATTTCATCTTGTATAGACTCTCTGCATGGTGTAGAAACCTGGAAAATCAAGATTTCACATTGCACAATGACCTTTCTTCAGAGTTTATCCCTCCAATTTATTCAAGAGTGACAGGGATGGAAGTGAGCAAATCTACTATGCCTGACATTATTTCACCCTATATGCTTTTTAAACACAGAAAAATGCATTTACAATCACTTAAATGTTTAGATTTCCTAGCTCTGTATTAAATAAATAAATCGATATTTTATTTTAACTAGATGCTGAAAACTTCAGTTCCTAGAAGTAAACAGAAAAGTACTTCAAAAGGTAATGATTCAAATGTTTACTCTCTGGAAAGCAAGGTAAAGTATGGCTATGGTTTGTATGCCAAATAGCAATGCATCTTTAAATAATTATTATTCTAGTATTTTAGATAAAGCTTTCTGGAGCAGGACTGGAGAACCTACAGTCCTTTAGAAGTTGTTTAGCTCTGGTCCCATTAGCTCCACCTGTGTTGAAAGATCAGCAAAGTGAGTAACAGTCTCCCTATCCTTGCTGCAATATGCATGAAACTCCTTCAAAGGCAGGTGAAATTCTTTATGGTTCCCTGAACTTCCATTGATTGAATTCAATGGCCTTGGATTGGGAAGTGCTTCTGTTGCCACCCAGATCAAAGGCCGTCTGGGAGACTGTCCACAGGTGTGATCCCAACATCAGAGATTGGACGGAGCTGCTGGTGTCATTGAAGAAAGCTGCCAGGGTCCATTGTGGCCAGGCAAGGTGCTGAGACCCCAGAGGCTTGAGAACTAGCTTCAGGCCCCCTGCTGCCAGAAGCTCCAGAAACAAGCAGCTCAAGCCCCTGGAGTTTTAGCTCTTCAATACCATCCACTTCTCTGTGCAGGAGAGGGAAGGCAAGTCCATGTGGAATTTGGACAGGCCACTTGCAAGGACCGGCCACTTGCGATACGCACATATGGGTTGGCAGCTGCTAGCAGAAACTAAGGGGGAGTGGTGGAGGAGGGTGTGACAAACCCAGACCTACTGGGATATGCCACACGTTAACTAAGCTGCCACCAACCATCCCCTATAAGAAGTCACACAGACCCGGGATGGATTTTTAAACAAATAAAGAACAAGGTTTATTTAAAACAACACACAGGGAAAATAAAATAATCAGGTGAATAAGAAATAGTAACGTGGCTTATTCATACATGCATACAGTTTGGTTCACACAGAACCCTTAACTTGAAGCACAGACCCTGAACCTATCAGTTCTGGCTAACCAACAGACACCTGAACCTATCAGGTTGGTACTCTGACACACAGTAGTACCCTGTCTGACACACAGACTCCCACACCAGCTTCTTCTTCCCAGCTGCTGCTTCGTCACATCCCAGCGACTCCTAAACTCTTCCACACACGCATCACATATATATACAGTACAGCCCCTCCTCCTGATGTCCCGCCTTCCACTCCCCATAGGATGGACCTTTCCCTCCAAACCCATGACAGACAGGTAACATCAGTGCTGTATGTAACAGAGGGTACCTTTACTGCTAGCCTCCAAAAACACCTGATGATGTGCATTCAGCACCTTTGCTGCGAGACCCCATGCCTGGCCCAACTTCGAGGGGTCTTTGACCTGGTTGAGGAGATGGGGGTCTACACGTCCCAGTAAAGACTGTAGGGCCAACACCCCAAGGACTGAGGGAGTGAAAGTAACTCCCTGGTGCCCAGAACTATTTGTTTTATGTTAGCTGCCTTGTTGGCCCTTTAAAAGTTTCATTGCCCAGTGAAGGAGGCTGTTTCTACAACTACTCTCAGTGTCATCATGGAAGGTGGTGCTTAGACTAGAACACTTGCTTCAGCAGATGGTGGAGCAGCACTTTGTCCTTGTCAACCAAATACTGGCTCTCCAGAAGCAAATGGCAGGACTGTGCCAAACCATTCCATGCCTGCTGTGGATCTAAGGGCCCCTGTCCATTCGGGTACGGAAGATGTTTTCAGTTGATTACCTGGAGGCCTTTCTAAATACCTTTGAGTCAATAGAATTGGCCATGGTATGGTCAAAGGACCAATGGCCATTGATTTTGACCCTGGGCCTCATGGGGTTAGCCCAAGAAGTGGTGGACATGTTGCATTCCACCAACATGACTGACTATGATAAAGTCCATATTAAGCATGCTAAACCTGTCAGAGGAGGCCTATCACAAATGCTTTTGGTACTTGCAACTAAAAGGACCATATTGGTTTGCAAACTGAGTTCCCTTGATGAAATTGTCACTATGCTGGAAGTGTACTGGGAAGCAGAGGAGACCTGGAATCTGAGAGCCCTAGTGAATCATGAAAAAGAACAATAATGTGAACAGTTTCCCTAGAGCACAAGGCCCATTCCTGTCACCAAAAGTGTGGTAAGGCCTCCACTATCCCCACCCTACCTGCACACTGAGAAGGATATAGAACTGATGGCAAGTGGGGCAGCTGGAGGCTCTCCAATCCCATTGGGTGCACCAGGAGAAAATAGTGTACTGGTAAGCACCCTATTCTGGGGCAATAAAAGGCCAGCTGTTTCACCTGTGGCAAGGAACTGGACTGTCTACCATGGATTGCACCTTGGCCAATGTCTGTGTAGCTGCCATGCAGGTATGTAGCATCAAAGGTACAGATTAGGAGGTCGACATGCTGGTCAACGGGCAATGGGCGAAGGCTTTGGTTGATACAGGCTGCAGCACCCCCTGCTGTGACCCCATCCTGCCTTGCTCCAAGAAGGGTGGATTAGAGTCTGCTGCATATACAGGGATGTTAAATCCTACACCACCACTCATGTCTGGGTCATTGTAGGTAAAGTAAGGTGCAGGTTTAATGTGGGACTAATGCCAGGGCTTTTTGCCCCATATTATTAGGGAGGGACTAGAAATATATAGAGAAGTTAGTGCATGCTTCGAGAGTAGTCACAGCAGCTGTAGAGGCGGCTGAGAAAAAAAGAGTTAGGTAATGTGAGTCGCACTTAGGTTCAGGTATTGCAGCAAGAATCCACACTGGTCCATGTGCTTGCTTCAGCCAATCTGGATACAGCTGATAGGCAGTTAGGCCTTGAATTGTGAAACGGTTTGTGGTACTGCATTAAACCTGAATTGCCCAGTCCTAAAGCATTGTTATTTCTACCCCAGTGCCTAAGATGCTCTGTACTATTATTAGCCCATGACTACCCATTGGCTGGACATTTAGCTGCAGATAAAATGATTTCCTTGATTATTGAGTCCAGAAAATGCAGCTTGAAGAGGAATTGTCAGTCCCTTGGACCTTCACTTGTGGGGTCCCCCGAGGATAGTCAGTCTCCCCAATGCCTTTTAACTTCTATGGAAATCCATTGGGAGAGGTCATCCAGAGATTTGGAATGTGTTGACTTCAGCATGTTGATGATAACACACAACTCTATCTCTCCTTTGTGTCTTCTGCAATGGATGCTATCTGGTTGCTTTAGTGCTGCCTGGCCTCGGTTCTTGAATGGACCAAGGCTAACAGACTGACCTTGAACCTTTCCACTTAAGGATCAAGTTTGGAACATGGATGTGTTCCAGCTGTCTCATTTGATTCCCAGATTTTAGCCATTTCCAGGTTGACCTTCAACCCACAGGCTGATTGCACTACTTGGCCCTGCCTGGATGAGGAGGCCCTAAAGACATTGGTGCATGTGCTGGTAATCTTGAAGATTGACTACCGTAACACTATGTGTGGTTTCCCTTGAGACTGACCTGGAAACTACAGCAAGTTTAGAATGCAGCCTCCAGGCTGGTGTCGAGTGTATTTATTTAACTACATCTCCCCAGTCCTGGCTCACCTACACTGGTTACTTGTGACATTCTGGCCCAGGTTCAAGGTCCTGATTCTTACTTTAAAAGCCCTCCATGGTTTGAGACCTTTTTATTTGTCAGAGTGCCATTCCCCCTGAGAACATCACCAGATCCTCATGGGCCATGCTCCTACGTGTTGCCACACTGAGGGAGGCCAGAAAAACATTGACCAGAATTCAAGCCTTCTCAGTTGTGGCACCAGCCCTTTGGGATGGGCTTCTACTTGAGCTGCACCCTTCCAGCCAACATTCACGAACAGTTCTTCTGGACAGGACTCTACCAACACAGAGCAATGTTGCCAGTTTTGCTCCGTCCAGCCCAGCCTTGCCAGGGAACCCCATTGGTACCTCTGCCGATAGTGGACAAACCATTCAGTTGGGAAATTCTTGACCTGGTCCATGACCAGTGGGAGTCAGTTGGGTAGCCTTAGATATAGTAGGCCCATTGCTGAAATCTGCAGGGGGACATAGTCACATCCTCATAATTATTGACTAAACTGTCAGCTACCCCATAGTGGTAGCACTATGCTGCACTATGGCCTGCATCTTAGCCTGTTGGGGTTTGTGAGGGTAGGTTTCCCAAGGGCTATCCTCACTGACCAGGACACTAATTTCCTTTGTCAACCCCTACAAGATATGCTAAGTATTCATCCTTCCCACACCTTGGTCTATCACCCCCAAACAAATGGGCTGGTTGAATATTTCAATAAAACCCTAAAAGTTAATGCTACATAAACTCTCCCACAATCGCCCAACTGAGTGGCACCTTACATTGCAGCACTTGATGTTTTTCATGTGGGAGTTTCCATGAGCCTGTTTGAGTTTTTCTCGCTTTGAATTCTTGAGTGGGCAACAATCCTGAGATATTCTTGACCTGGTGCATCACCAGTGGGAGTCAGGGGCAGGCCCAGCTCAGAGCATGGTCCAGCAGGTTTTAGAGATATGTGAGCAGCTCCAGGCTGCTTTCACAATGACCCAAAAATGGTTAAGGCACTTCAGAAGAATAAGTTTGCTGCCCAGATTGCCCCAGAGAGTTCACACTGGAACAGAAGGTCTTTCTACTCCTATCCTCAAAGATAGAAAAATTGTTTGCTTGGTAGTAGGGTCCTTTTGAGATGGTTAGGAATGTAAGCCCTATAGACTCTCAAATGTGGGCGCTGGACAGATGGTGATGAACCCAGATATTCCATGTAAATCTCTTGAAGGAGTGGCATGACAGGGGAGCACTGTTTGGGCAAGGCAAGGAAGTAAAGCTGGGGAGCACTTGATCCTAGACAAGGACATAGAGCCAAAATATCAGCAACAGCCATGAGCCCTTGTGGCCCATTTCCATGATGTTCTCATCATTAAACCAAACCACATTTCCTGGTACAGCACTGCATAGAGACCCCACCGGGCATGGTGGTCCATACATCAACCTGCTCTTGGCCATGCCAGCTGCATCAAGTGATACTGGATGACATAAAATCCAGGTTAGAATTAGGGGTTATTGAACCCTTCTTCATCCACCAGAGGAGTCATGCTGCTCTGGTCTATAAGCTTAATGGGAGTGTGAGGTTTTGTATAGATGTCCGGAGGGTGAACTCAATGTTGAAGTTCAACCTATGCCTTGGGTGGACAAGTTCATTGAAAAGTTCAGGCAAGCCACCTATTTGGATCTCACAGAGACTGATAAACAGAAATCTGCCTTCACACATCCCCAGGTTTATACATTTCACTTACATGCTATTTGACCTGCATGGTGCAGTGGCCACATTCCAATGCTTCACAGACAGAGTGCTGACCCCTGTGCAGAATTTTGCTGCCACTTACATAGATAACATTATATTTAGCCAGTTTTGGGAGAAGCATCTAGAGCAGCGGTCCCCAATCTTTTTGGAACTGCGTACTGTTTGGGGGGTGCGGGCTCCGTGCGCGGACTGGTTAGGGGGTAGGGGCACCCCCATGCTTGCAGGTCAGCATGTTGTGCTCGCAGGTGGTCGTGTCACACCTGCGGAGGAATGTGTCATGCTCGCAGGTGGGCACATTTGCGGAGGGGTGTGTCACTGATTCCTCTGCCCCTCTGTGGACTGAAGCATTGGTAGGGCAGAGAAAGACACCACCCTTGAAGCCACAGGTGTGGCCATAGCAAGGCTTGGATTTAAGGAAGAATGGGAGGCAGAAGAGGACTGTTGGGTGAAAACAGTAGATTGGGAGGCACGTGAGGCTCAGAAGGTGCTGCTGTTGCCACCCAGGTCAAAGGCTAGCTGAGAGATGGTCCACAGGCATGATCTTGACACCAGAGATTGGGTGGAGCTGCTGGTGCCACCGGTAGAAGCCATCTTGGTCCATCAAGACCAGGCAAGGTGCCGAGAGGCCCAAAGGCTCAATAATCTGTGTTCGGCCCGCTGCTGCTAGAAGAAAAACCATGAATAGGCAGCTCCTTCGGAGAAACCCTACAGCCATTCTCCCCCTAAGCTCCAGAAGGTTATGTGTATCGCCCTCCATTTCACTATGCAGAAGAGGCCCAACCCACAAGGATTACCACACCTACAGACCAACATTGGCTAGTGGGGCTGAAGGGGAGTGGTGTGGGAGGGAACCCTTGCCTCTCACCTCCAAGGGTACCTAGCAGTGTGCATCAAGCACCCATGTTTTGGGACACTGTCCACCTTTGAAGAGTCGTTGACCTGGTGGAGGAGGTGGGGCTACGAATCGCCCAATAAAAACTATGTAGGGTTGGCACCCTGAGAACTAAGGGAGTAAAGCTAACTCCCTGATGCCCTGAGTTACTTATTAGCCACCTCATTGGCCCTTTAAAATTTCTGTTGCTCAGTAAATGAACCTGTTTTCTGCAACTACTTGTCGTATGTGTTGTCATGGAAGGGGGTATGTGGGCCACTCAGACATTCTTCCACAGAAACAGAAAAAGATCTAATGCCTGGACTGTTGGCATCAAGCCAGCCTCTCTATGGAGGTCATTCCACAGATGGGATATCACCATCATAGTCACCAGCTTTGCCTCATTTGGGAGTGCCATTTGCAAAACATACTGTAAAACGTTCTTAGGTTCTGGTGGGTGGTTACAAAGGGAGAGACGGTCCATCAAGTTACCTGGCCTCAAATCATTTAGAGTTCTAAAAGTTATGACACTTTGATTTTGGCCCAGAAACAGACTAGTAGCCAATGTAAATAGTAGAGTACTCACAAAATGAGATCTTATCAACTAGTTTCAGTTAGTACAATCACCCTGTTTTGGAAATAACCACAGTTCAAGATGAGCTTTAAAGTACATTGCAGTAACTCAAATTATTTATTTATTTATTTATCTATCTATCTATCTATCTATCTATCTATCTATCTATCTATCTATCTATCTATCTATCTATCTATCTATCTATCTATCTATCTATCTATTTATTTATTTATTTATACCCCGCCCATCTAGACTGAAGTTTACTTTGTGAATAACTCATGAAACTGTATCTGTATGTTAGCCTTTTGATAGCAAATATGGTAAGACCAACTATTATAGTAATGGTGCTAAATCTCTCAAACAATGAACCTGGTCTGTAAGATAATGCAGGACCTCCACCCCTGGAACAGTATGAACAACACCTCGCTAAACAAAAGAGCCTATTTACAGTCAGTATCTCTGTCTAGTCTGGATTATATCAGTTTATGGGCCCTCATCCAGTCCATTAACCAACCTATGGACCATAGGTACTTATTCCCCTTTTAAAAAGATTATCATCTGCAGACTACTATGCAAGAAACAACCACATCATTAGGGCAGAACTTCTATGAAACTGAGATATTTGACAGAGGATTATATGGTTTGTCACTCCATGCATCTACCTCATAGCGGGATGCTTGCCATCATCATGATGGGTCACATTTCTTTGGCTTTCAGTGATGGCTGCTGCCTACCTTTAACATATTGTCACTGGTTTTGTGAGTGGGGCTCTCCTAGACCCATTGATTTAACTTAAAGACACCTCCTCCCCAAATTAACGAATGGGCAGACATTCTTGGAGAGCCCCACAAGCTTCCTTGCTGCTGCAGCAGATGTTCTCTATAGTGTTAATTGGTCTTGGTCCCTCACTTTGTGGGGTTATACAAAGCAAGGATATGGAGGTGGGAAAAGGATCGTTACAATCTCTGTGCCACCTTGTATATAATACTTTGATCTAAAACAGCCATTTTAATCTCTTTTTTTGTCACAGACATAAACACATTGTGAAAGAAATATAGGCCAAATCAGGATTGTATAAATTCCTTATAAGGAAATTTGTGAATAATTGTTCCCAGCCTTTGGCCTCCTTCAAATATGCCAGGCTGTATGGCCCGTGTTGAGAATGGTTGATCTAAAGTGAGATATTGCTAGGCAAAAGCCAGATGCCGGAAGAGGAGGAATTTGGACTATCTCGGACTATGTAATGTCTTATACCAACCTGGCACATAAGGCTGCCTTCTGTTTGGTTTGCTTTTTCTAAGCTCTAGCATTTACATTTGACATTGACAGTTTCAAGAAGGATGCAGTCACTTTATTTTACAATTGGTTGACATTTGTGGAAAGAACTTACATGTTCCAATATGACATGAAGGGTTTAGGTTTAGAAATTTAAAAAAAAGTTTCTTATTTACTTCTAAATTGTCTTTGGTTAAACAAAAAATAAATTTCAAAGGTGCACTTTATGTAGAATTCTAAATGTTCTCCCTTTTCCTTTTGTAGTCATAGATTCATTGAATGAGAGTGGAGGACACAGTGTAAGTACAAGAATTATAAATACAAGTTACCTTCAATTCTGTTTACTAAAAATATTTGTTAGTATTATTTGTTTAGAGTGATGTTCGTTTTGTGTTTTTAGGAACACTTCCAGCACAAACTCTAGCTTTTTTAAGAATTAGAAATCAATTGTTAGATCAACAAAAATTCCATAATTCCAAATTACTGTCTTAGCAGTCATGAACAGGGGCTATAGAATTTTTTATACAAGGCATAGAAGACAATGACTTCCTTAGTCTGTAATACCTTGCACTCACATATTTAATATTGAGTCTGAGTGCATTATTGTTAAACTGTTGATACCAGCAAAATTGCAGATGCCCAGAGCTATTGGTACCCTGAAGCATTAGACTGAAGAAGTAAAACCTGTATTGCTTAGGGAGTTACTGTAGCTGTTAGATAACCTTGTAGTTTTCACAAGTCGCATGCATCCCTGATCATGACTAATATTAATTGGTAGACATATAACCTGTGAATATATTGTTATGTTTTTACTTGGTTTTAATTGATTTGTTTGATAATTTCATTATAGTTGTGTGTTTTATTCTTGGCAACCATTGAGTTTTATATTTACAGGAAAGATGGAATATAAATCGAATAAATAATTAAATGTTATTTAGATGTTATCACAATTAGTTGCTTACACATCATTTGGTATGTTTTCCTTTTGTTAAGTATTTTGTGTGAAGTTTTTGCATCTTTCAGCTCCAAACATCCTGGAAAATGCATCCTTCTCTCCATACTTTTCATAATTTTATAACCCCCTATCATCTTTGACTTTTTCATAAATGAAAAGCCCTAAATGAACTTTCAGTTTCATTACTGGTTTTTTTAATTTATTTGTAACTACTAGGAAACTGAAGAAAGGAAAGCAGAGGTGGTTTTGCCTCGAAGAGGAAGGAAGCGTAAACGACCTCTTATTCCATCAGAGGAAACAGGTAGGACACAGACGCCTGCTTCTCGTTTAACTTTTAGTTTTTTAAGATGCACACTAGCCTTCAATAAGTTCAGTTTTATTATCCTTATTCATTGTGGGGAAATCATTGGGTTATAGCTAAAGTAAATATTATGGGAAAATGTGCAAATTGCTGTAATCTCTTGTCAACAGTGGTATGTCCCAGCTGGTTCCCTAAACCCACTTCAGTTTTCAGTGAATTCTGGCTGTGGACTCAAGAAGTAAACTATTGCAAATGTGTTTGGAGAGATTTAAACAAGTATGCATTAGAAACCCAAGGAAATGGAAAATTGGTTATTCCACTCAAGGCCAATTTAGAATTCCCTTTCCATAATAAGTGTCTATGTTGTTTCTGGAGGATTATGTGGAAATTTGAATGTGTGATTAAAATTTTGCAGGAATGAATACAAATGAGCCAGATGAAAAGTGGCAAAAGTTAACACGTGCAGTTGAAAAGAAAACAAAAGATCAAGATGAAAGCAAGGAGCATGATGGTGATGATGGAAGAGAGACTGCTGACAGCAGTGGTCATGCTGATGAGATACATTCCAGAGCCACAACTAGATCAGCTTCAAAATTAGAAGCACAAAGGTAATGGTAGCTCTGTTAATATTTAGGCAGCATGTCACCTTCTGAGTCAGGTTTCCATAAGACACAGAAGGCTTGTGGAAATGGAGGAGCTCCAAAGTCTCATGCTGCAAAAATGCACTTGTGGTTTCTAAAATATTTGCCACTAACTACGGTTATTTATTTAGATATAGGTGTAGGATATCCAACATGGTATAGTGGAAAGAGTGATGGATGAGAACTGGAAGAACTCAGTTCAAGTCCCTGCTCAACTACAGAAAGTCATGGGGAGAGTGACACTGGGAGAACCATTATTTATTTTATTTAAAATATTTTACCACATCTTTCTCCTTAAAAAGGACCCAAGGAGGCTTACATTATTAAAAGATAATATTTAAAAGCCAAGAACAAATATAAAAGTATGCAAATATAAAATAATCAAACAAATATTTATTTATTTATTTATTTAAATACCACACTAAATATTTATTTAAATTCCACACTAAAAATGGTACAAAAAAATCAACACTGAAAACAGATTCAATGCAACAAGGCACAACATTCCATTTAAATACCTCTCTAAGACACCTAATCACTAAGGGTAAGGACAGCAAAGACAGGACCAACCTGGCCTCTTGTTGGAGGGAGTTCCAGAGTCTGGGTGCAGCAACAATGAAGATCCTCTCCCACGTTTCCACCAAACATACCTGTGAAATTGGTGGGACTGGGAGAAAGGCTTCCTCTGATGATCTTGACACTTGGACAGGCTCATAAAGGGAGATGCAATCCTTGAGATACCTTAGACTCAAGCTGTTTAGGGCTGTCCAGGTAAAACCAACTATTTGAATTGTGGCTGGAATCAGATTGGCAGCCAATGGACCTCCTTAGATATTTCATTACCTTGAAAGCCATGTTAAGGTCACTATAAGTTGACTTAAGCCATGTTAATGTCACTATAAGTTGAAGGTACAGATGGAATTTAACAGAACATAGCAGACACACCACTAGTATTGTGAAAGCTACCCATAATTTGATTTGGAACCCAGCCTGAAGCTGATTCATGGCCATTTTATAGAAAAAAGGTTAATCTTCGCTAGGGTAGCCATTGTTAATGTTTTTCTGTACTGGGGTAGATGCTGGTGATTTGAGTGTGGAGGAACTCTCTGCAGTTCTGTTGTCAAGGACGGGACTTGATGGGTTTTAGACTCACTGGAACTCAGACCCTCTACAGTGGTGTGGGACTGATTAAGATGGTCTGCCCAAGGAGGCTGATGCATCCAGATAGTTTCCAGATGGCTCCTGGATAAATTCCCATCACTTTGGCAGAAGATTCTGCTGGAGCCCTGGTTAACCTCTGAAATGGGGAAATGACCAGGGCCATTTACTTAATCGCTCCTAAGTGTCCATTCCCACGATAGAATCAAACTTTCCCTCTGATTTATGGGAAACCTGATAGTGATGAATCAAGTGGGACAGAGACGACAGAAACAATGGTGGAAAATTCAGCATGAATCCAACCGAACATGTGCTAGGGCTCATTGGAAGGCTTACTCCATAGCAGCAGTGGCAGTGAAGAAGTCATTCTTCTTTGCTACCACTGATTATACACAGAGTCATCCAGCAGAGCATTTCAAGTAGTCAAAGGCCTCTTGCATGCTGGCCTGCAGAAAGAAAATATAAATCACATTGTAGCATGCTGTGAAGAATTGTCCGCGCCTGCACTGACGATCTCGGAAGAATCCCATGAGGCAATGCTCCTCCCACTCACCGTTCCCCTCAGTTCCTTTTTTCCGCCATGCTGAAAGGTTCTACGAAAGAGAGAGTGTGATTATTTGGCCTTTGTGCTGCTAAATACCAATTACCTACTTCAATTTCCAATCAACAACTTTTTTGTTTGATCTCCTGTGAGTTCTTATCCTATTCGATAGCCCTTTTACTTAAGCCCTCCCCCCCCCCGTTTTCCCACCCTTTATAGTCTCTTCAGCTCTTTTTAAGCGCTGCGTTGGCTGCAATACCAAAATTCCATCGACCAACGGCCATGACAAGTGTTTATTCTGTTTGGGAGAAAAACATCAAACCCAATCCTGTGCGGCTTGTAAAAGTTTTACCAAGCCAGCGCTAGAACACAGGCTCTGAAGATTACAATTTCAGCTTTGAGAAGTATCCATGAATCTTGTTCCCATGGCTCCTGCTGAAGTTCCACATTCAGAACCAGCCCCACCTTAACAAGCCTCATCCGCCACTCTGGGGCATTCTACCCCTTCACTCCGCTCCAAGGCGGGCTCTGACACTTCCAGGGCTTCAAAATCCAAAGCCTCGAAGGAACAATCTAAGAAGAAAAAGGAAAAACCTGTTGTTGTAGGCATCCTTCAGTCTTGAGATACTATGGTACTGTGCTCTGTATGGAGGTCTTGGAACAGCGTCTAGTATGGCTGAGAAGGCCAATTTGAGAGTGACAATCTCTTCCACACTGAAGACAAATATAATCTGTCCCCTGTCCAGCTCCTTGGTTTTGCTCGTTTTGGGACTGCTCTTTGCCTCGGCCTGCTGTACAAGTGTCTCTTCAAATTGGGAGAGGCCATGATGCACCGCCTGCCTCCAGGCTGAAAGCTTAGAGGTCAAGGTTTCCCATCTGTTGAGGTCCATTTCTAAGGCCTTCGGATCCTGCTTGCATATGTCCTTGTATTGCAACTGTGGTCTCCCTCTGGGGCGCTTTCTCTGCACTAATTCTCCATAGAGGAGATCCTTTGGAATCCGACCATCAGCCATTCTCACGACGTGCCCGAGCCAACGTAGACGTTGCTGTTTCAGTAATGTATTCATGCTGAAAATTCCAGCTCGTTCTAGGACTGCTCTGTTTGGAACTTTGACCTGCCAGGTGATACCAAAAATGTATCGGAGACAACGCATATGGAATGTGTTAAGCCTCCCCTCCTACCATGCACAAAGGGTCCAGGACTCACTGCAGTACAGGAGTGCGCTCAGGACACAGGCTCTATAGACCTGGATTTTGGTATATTCCGTCAGCTTCTTATTAAGCCATATTCTGTGAGTCTAGAGAACAGGTAGCTGCTTTCCCAATGCGTTTATCCAGCTCGACATCTAGGGAGTGTCAGAGATCGTTCAGCTAAGGTATACAGAGTCATGAACAACCTCCAGTTTTTGTGTGGAGATAATAATAGAGGGAGGTGAGTCCATACCCTGGCCCATGACTTGTGTTTTCTTCAGGCTGATTGTTAGTCCAGTGTCTTGGCAGGCCTTGCTAAAATGATTCAT